GTTAGTCGACACCTCTTTCACCTCATATAATTACCATTTTGATGTTGTTACTGTGAGAACATTAAAACTCTACCCTCATAGCCATGTTCCAGCACATAATACTGTATTGTTAACTGTAGTCACCGTGCTGTGCTTTAGATCCCCGGAACTTACTCATCTTAGCACTGGAAGTTTGTACCCTTTTACCAACATCCTCCCATGTCCCCCAGAAGACCACCACTCTGCTCTCTGTGTCCTTGAGTTTGATGTCTTTATGTTAATCCTCACCCACCCGAGGATATTTTTTCCATGGATTTTTAGAGAGAGTGGAAAGGAGAGGGAGAGACACAGAGAGAGAGAAACATTGATGTGAGACAGACACATCGATTGGTTGCCTCCTGCAAGCGCCCCAACTGGGGCCAGGGATCAAACCTGAAACTAAGGTACGCACACCCTTGACTGGAATTGAACCCGCAACCCTTCAGTCTGTGGGCCAATGCTCTAGCCCTTTAGCAAAGCAGCCAGGTTGAGTTTGAGGTTTTTAGATGTCATATGTAAGCGAGAGCTTATAGTATTTGTTTTACTCTGTCTGACATTTCAATTAGCATAATGCCTTTAAGGTCTATCCATATTGTGAAAAATGACATGATTTCCTTTTTCATAGCTGAGTAATACTCCATTTTATATATATCACAATTTCTTTATCCATTCATCCATTGGCAGACAGGTTATTTCTCTGTCTTGGCTACTGTGAATAATGCTGCGATGAGCTTGGGGGATGGTGCACATATCTCTCCATGATAGTTATTTCCTTTGGATGTATACCCAGAAGTGGGATTGCTGGATCACATGGTAGTAGTTCTGGTTTTTATTTTTTATTTTATTTTTTAAAATATTTTTTTTATTAATTTCAGAGAGGATGGAAGAGGGAGAGAGAGATAGAAACATCCATGATGAGAGAGAATCATTGATTGGCTGCCTCCTGCACGCTCCCCACTGGGGATCAAGTCCGCAACCTGGGCATGTGCCCTTGACCGGAATCAAACCTGGGACCCTTTGGTCAGCAGGTTGACGCTCTACCCACTGAGCCAAACTGTTAGGGCTGGTTTTTATTTTTTGAAGAGGCTCCATACTGTTTTCCATGGTTCTTGCTCCTGGCTGCACATCAGAATCCTGGGGAGCTCTTTAAAGACCTGATTGCCCAAGCCTCATCTGCAGAGAATTGGATTTAATTGGGCTGAGGGATGGCCTGGGGTTCTTTTTGTTTGTTTATTTGTTATTTTTTGAGTCCAGGTGATTTTATTATGCAGTCAGAGCTGTGAACCTCTGATCCAGTACACTAACTAAATAAATCTCATGCCTATCTCCCTTGATGTCCTTGTTCATACCATCCCCTCAACCTGGAATACTTGTCCTGTCCTCCTTAGCTGTCCACATCCTTCTTGTCCCTTAATGACCCCATAAGACCCAACTCACTTGCAACTCCACCGTGAAGTTTCCCTGGGTCCCCCATCAAGTAAGATATCTCCATTTTTCGGACATTCTATAACTTCCTTCTGACATGTATCATGGTCTACTTTGCAAAACTGTTATTTTTAAACTTACTTTTTTCTATAAGATTGTCAGTTCTTTGAAAAACTGTAGCAAAATTAACCTTGTTCATCACTCAGTACCCTGTTCTGTGGGACAATTACTCAGTAGGAGCTCAGTAAATATTTTAAAAATGTTTACTTTGTTCTATAGCTTTTTCTTCATTTTGTACAGTTGCTGTCTCTGCCCGGAACCCCTTTTCCCATGGCTCAGTGTCACCTTGTTAGAGCGACAAATATAGTCACTTATTTATTTGTGTATTGCCTGTCTCTTCTCACTAGCATGTAAGCTCTGTGAGGAAAGGTCTTTATTTTGTTTGCTGTTGTATCCACCATGCACATGCCAGTACTTGGCATATAGTAAGTGTTCAGAAAATATTCTTTGGGTTTAATAAATGAACTGGATGGACAGTTATCTTCTTTTGTATATACCTTATAACAACCCCCAGCAGGCAAGGTAGGCATAATCAAGCCATCATCAGCTTAATTCTCAGACTCTTGGCGTTCTGAGCAGGAATATGGAAGCGCAGTTGCCACAGGAATATGGGGCTTGTTTCACTTTCTCCTCCCACACCTCGTTCTTTGCTTCACTCCTGTAGGCTTCATGATCTCACCCCACCTGCATGTCCAAGTTCCACCACTTCCCTGCAGACGGCTGCCCCTTGGCCATTCCAGACACACCCGCTGTTGGCCCACCCTTTGGGAGAAAGGCCACACAGGCCCTGGAAGGGAGCCTGGGCCAAGTGGGCAAGGGGATTCTGGGCTCCTAGTGGGGTATCCGCTTGTCCTCAGACTCCTTGCCCTGTGGGGAGGGTGTGGTTGGAGGAGGCCTGGAATGGGGCCCCTGCAAGCTGGGGCTGTTTGGTGTTAGTCTAAGGGGGATTGATCCTCTCCTCTCCAAACCAGACTGTAAGCCCCCTCTCCTAGAGGTTGTGTCGTTTAACTGGAAAATGGAAGGTGTGGGCTGAGCTTGAGGTAAATAAACTAACCTCTTTGGCTTGTTTATAATAATAAAAGCATAATATGCTAATTAGATTAGACCTCCTTCTGGAAGACCTCCCAGACAAAGCCGCAGCTGCGGGGGGGGGGGGGTGCAGGTGGGGGCTGAGGCAGAGGCAGCTGCTGTGGCGGTGGCTGGGGGGGGGGGGGGCAAGCCCGTTGCACGAATTTCATGCATCAGGCCTCTAGTTTATCTATAAAATGAGAACTAGATGAGATAATCTCTAAAATGGCTTCTTTAATATCTCCCTCCCTGCACACACACACATTCCCAACTAACAGGTCATAGCAGAATGCCCAGAAGTGTTCGCTAGTATGAATGCCCTATGGCCTTGACTTAATCTATTCTCATATCAGACAAATGCATGTAGGTATGTGTATACATGTGGGGGCACACACACCCTACCTTGTACCACTCAATCCGTCTTGGATTTTTGAGTCACAAAACTTACCAGCTGAAATGTTAGAGCCCTGGGAGACATTTTTCTAAACACTGAGGCAAAATGCTCCAGATCCCAACAGAAGTCATATTCAGTTTTATGCTTTCAGAGCTTGGGGACTATGGGACCCTAGGGATCTTACTTTCCTTAGAAAATTGGTGACCTTGAGTCATTTCTATTATCTTAAAGTTGAGGTTTTTATTTCTGACTGATGTCAATCCCTTCTTAATGGCTGGGTAAACATTTTATTTCCTTGAGTTGCCTGAGAATTAAGGGGGGGGGGGGCTTTTTCTGACTCCCTGGGTTTTAGTGTTGGTAGGTAGACGCTTACTGGAGGCTGGGGCCAAATCTGAAAGGTTAAACCTCTTTCCTGGGCAGGTGGATGCTCTGGTTCAGATGAACAGATGTATAATGAGGGTTCATCAGTGCTATGGGCAACCCTAAGCAGGATGACACCAGCTCCAAGCTTTATATTAATTTGGTTGGAGAGGCACAGCATAATTTCATAGAAGATTAAATAACATAACAGGACAAGACAATTTATCACCTCAAGGCAGTGGTTTGTGGTCAAACGCAGTTTTTTTCACAACGAGTTTAGAGAATGAAGGAAAGTGTGAATAAGCGGTCCCAGGTCTGGGGCCATCATATCGGGGAGCCGACATGCGGGGACAGGCAGTGTCTCCACACAGTTCCTCACCTGGAGTTTATGAGCTGGAGGCAAAGTCTGCAAAGCCTTCTGTTCATGGTGGGGGGTCGGAGGAGACCGGTTGCTAAGAACAGGGACTGCTTATGATGCCGAGGCATAATGAGCACACATAAGGAACATCAACAAAAGCTATCCTCAACCTTTATTCTCAACTCTCTTCCCTGAACCGGACAGGTAGGTGCTTAGAGAAGAATGCCTCAGTCTTATTCTGAGAAGGGGCTCTTGCTGCCCAGACCGGTGAGCTGCAAGGTTGGGTCTCACAGGGGAACGGGAATGGAGCCTACTGCACTGCCACAGGACGCGAAGACTCAAAACTGCCAATTCCACGTTGCAAGACCCTTAAACCACCATCCTCAGAGTTAGATGCCGGGCACATAGCAGGGACTTGACAAACGCTAACTCCCCCCTTCGCTTTCCTCGTTTCCTTGGGGAGCCCTAGCCCACCAACGCTAATCCTCGGACATTCTCTCCACCTCCCACGAGCGCTGCTGTCCCTAAAAGCGCCAGGATGAGTGGGGTTCTCTCCGGCTCCTCTTCAATTCGGTTCAACAGGAGCCTTCTGAAGGCCTACTACGTGCGCGCTGTGCGGGCTTCCCGGTCGGAACAGAAGGCAGAACCCCTAGACTCGAGAAAGGATGGGTCGGGCCGCGCGCTCTTCTCACCCCCTCCACTGCCCGTCCTCTGCTTTGTCCCCCCGGCAGCCCCGAAGGCTGCCCTGCAAACGCAGGCGCCCCGCTCACACCTGCCGCCCCGCACACAACCGAGCAGAGCGAAGCCGGGCGCCGGAGGAGGAGGGAGAGGCCGCCGCGTTGTGCTGCCCGGTTTCCGGCTCCGACCCCTCCTGGCGGGCCTCCTTCCCTCGCTCCCGGCGCCCCCGGGGGCGGAACGCGCGGGGCCACCAGGCGGCGGCGGGACCGGTGTGGGGTGCGGGCCCGGCGGCGCCGGCTCCCGGCCGAGCCCAGGCCTCCCGCGCCCCTTCCCGGGAGGCGGGTCCTGGGGGAGGACCCGGCCCCGGCCCCGACCCCGCGCGGCGCAGCCCCGCGCATTCGCGCCCCGCGCCTGCCGCCCGGCTGCCCGCAGGCAGGCGCCCGGCCGGCCGGGAGGTGGTGCTCGCCGCCCCGCGCCCGGGCCCGCGCGTTGCCGGGCAGCGGCTCGAGGCTCCGAAGGGGGCGGAGCGGCGAGGCGGGCGTGCGGCTGGCGGCCCCTGTCCGTGGTTCCGGCCCCCGGCCCGCCCCCGCCTCGCCGGCCTCCCTCCGCGCCGGTGCGCGGCGTCCCGTCCCAGCCGCAGCCGCAGCGGCCACCTCCCGGGTCTGAGCGCGCCGAGCCGCGAGGCCGGGTCGGGCGCCGGTCGGGACCGCCGGGGGCGCGGCGCCGACGCGAGGCGCGGCCATGGACGGGCAGACCCGCGCCGGGGTCGCGCTGGTGCCGGGGCCGAGCGGCCACGGGCCTTCCGCCCGCCGCCGCCGCCCGGGGCTGCTGCTCCCCGGCCTCTGGCTGCTGCTGCTGGCCCGGCCGGCCTCGTGCGCCCCAGGTAAGCACCGCGGGGACCCTGCCTGCCTTGATTGCTGCTGTTTTCAAAATCCTGCCTTCCCCGCCCAGACTCTTTTATTCCCCACCGCTCCCTCGCCCTCCTGGCTGGAGATGCTCTTCCATTCTTCTCGGGCCCAGCCACCGAAGGCGCGGAGGGAAGAAAGGGAGAAAGCCGGCGGATGGTGGCCAATCTTGCTAATGATCTGCAAAGCTCTCCTGTTATCCTCGGAGTCCGAGGCGGGTCTGGTGGCTTCATCTCCCAACGTGCCTTTATTTCCTCTGCAAAATCCAGGCAGTGGAATTGAATGCGTGCGTGGCCGTGGCAGGGTGGTATATGAAATGTTAGGGGGTACGTTATTGTCAGGCTGAAGGGGGACAGTGGGGAGGGGTGTGTGTGCCTTAAGGCGGTGTTGCATTACTCTGAGTAGCCCTGCGCCCCTCAGATACAGGGATTCCGGCGGTGTGGTGTCCCCCAGTGCACCAGGACACAAAGAACATTCAAAGAATATCTCTTGGAAAGCGCCCTGGCCACGGGTCTTTCCAGGGAACTAGCGGTTGCTTTTACTTCTGCAAAGGCATTAGTACAATAGAGTGTGACAATATTGTGATTTCCGAGTGTCAGGGCATGAAAGGAGTCAGGGTTGTTTCTATAATAGATGCAGTTTACTGACGGCTCATCAGGACGGAATTAAGAGGCATGATTTATGGAGAAGCGTGTGGGCGGGTTTTGTTGTTGAGGAAATGATTTAATTCGTATTGCTTCTCTGAAATGTTTATTTGTCCACCCTGAGCATACACACAGGATGGCCTGGAAACCATCTCTGAGCTGACAGGCTGTGAGCCCGTGGTTGTCCCCGGCGCGCTCACACTTGACCACTTGGTGGGCAGAAAAGGAAAGGTGGGATGAGCAGCCCTGGGTGGGCATGGAGCAGGAACAGAAAGCCATGGAAGCGATGCCAAATCCTCCCTTCCCTTGGGGGGATGGCCAAAAGACTGCCAAGTGGCTTTGAAAGGAAACGGAACACATTTGAAGGTGTCCCTAGGACCTCACTGTTGGAACGATAACCGGCACCGTGTAGGCGATGGTCCAGTAGGAGCCCAGGAAGAGACTTCAGGGATCAGAGAAGGGAACCACTCCTTCGACTGAAGAGGAAACTGCCATGAGAAGTGACTTGCTCAAGGTCACAGGCTAGTTTGTGCAGAGTCATCACCTGTCAGTCACCCTGCTGCCCTGACCCGCAGACTTGACCTCACACCTGAGGTCTCCACAAAGATTTCCCACAGCTGGGTGGAACCCTGCCTCAGAAGGCCACACCACAGCCTGGGTGACAAAATGGGTCTCTTCCCAGCAGTGTACCGAGGGTGCGAACGACTTTGCCTAACGCAGCGCCTCAGGTCTCAGTTCTGCTCCCTGCATGCTCCGCCCGGTGTGTCCATGTGTCCAGAGAGGACAGGAGACCCTGGGCTTTCTGGGAGAAGAGATGTTCATGAAGACTGCCCTTGTCTTTAGTCAACAAAGAAAGCCCATCTCATACTAACGGAGTCATCAGCTGCGGGACAGGCCAACTAATAATTTCCATTTACTGAGCGCTGCCTGTGTGCCTGGTGCTGTATTTTATACACAAGACTCAATCTCCTTGTGGGCTAGGCATCATCGTCCCCATTTTACAGATGAGGGAACTAAGGCTGCCGGCATTTAGGTTAGTTGACTCCAAACTCTATGCAGTTAACCTCCGTACAGCTAGCTTCCCCAGGCGAATGTGGCCAAATGGATATTTTGTAGATGTGGAGAAGTAAGTAATTCTTTGATAAATCTGATATCAGTAGTGGAGCTGTTTGTTCTGTCCCTTCGTAACTTTCTCTTCTTTAGAAGTCCATTCCTGTTTCCCCTCAACCCACAATACAAATACAGAGCCCTGGTTTATTGCACTTCACAGGTGTTGCGTATATATATTTTTTTACAAACTGAAGGCAAGACCCTCCACCAGCACAAAGGTTAGGACTTGCCTTATTTTGGTGGTCTGAAACCCGACCAAAGCTGCAGTATCTCCTTGGTATGCCTGTGTTCAACCTGGAGACATGAAATGAATTCTCTGTCCACTCTAGAGCTGACATCACAGAAGCAGAGACTTCGTCCTTCCATTCATTTGTGCATTGGCCTCTGGTTGGCGCAGCTGCTTCCAGACTGGGTAATAGACTGGGAAGCAGCTGTCCTCAAGGACCCAATTGGAAACACAGAGCTGTGCGCAAGCAAGCGCAGACCCCTGGTGCGGACGGTTCACGGGCAAGATTGCCTTTCAGTTGTTTGGTCCTGGTCTCCCCTCTGGCTGTGAGTCCTGAGTGTTTTCACCATCAGAGTGGGGATGGAGGAGGCTTGGCTGAGCCTGACATGGTGGTTCTCTTTCTGAAGGGTAAGCGGTATTAGTCAGAAAATGGTGCGTCTTAATCCTGTTTTGGATTTCCTAGGTTAGACACCAGCCCGTTCCGTGGCTCTGAAAACTTCCTCCTCCTCAGGAGGTTTCTCTTTCCTGTTAACTTTTGTTAAATGGAGTCCGCCCTCCAGTTGGTCTCCTAATTTCAGTCTCTATTTAAATTTCTATGTCTTATCGATTTCTGGTCTTTTTCCATTTCATTCAGCATTTTGAGTGTTTAAACATTTATGAGTTTGGTCTTGACTGTTCACTGTTGTGGAAACAATTTGTAATACTTTGAACTTGCTTTTGAATATTGTGCTTTTAGGAGATCCTACACCCACAACGTAAAAGGAAAGAGTCGTGTCCATTTTTTCATCGTATTGAGGGATAAGTCTTTCTCAAAATAGTTATTATGAAACATAACTTTGCAAATTACTTTGCAATTTAGAAATTACTGGAAGGTATAGAAAACAGGTACCCACACTCCTACAACCCACAGATAACACTGTAAATAGTTTTGCCTTTTCTTTGTTAACATTAAAAAAAAGAAAATTGAATTATATGCACAATGTATTTACCTTTTTTCACTCAATAATTGAGTTAAGCATTTCCTTATTCACAATTTTCCATCCTAATAATTACTTAATTATTCATTTATTATTTCCAGCTTTTTTGGCTGTTATAAACAATGCTATGTTGAATAGCTATGTAGGTAAGGCTTTGTCTATATATCTTTGTGTGGGTTTTTTTTTTTTTTTTTAAGTCTACATTTCTAGAAGGGAAATTAGGATGTAACATAAATCTAAGGCCCACCAGGCTGGCTCTTTGCATGTTTTGGTCAGTGTGGTGAGTGCCTTATAGGTGCTCAGTAAGTGGCTGTTGAATGAACAACAATTTTATATGAAGCTGCAATGCTGAAATAAAGCCTGGCAGTTTATGTGGTAGCCTGATTCACATCAGCACTAAGATTGAATATTATTTTAAAAATCCATTTTAAATACATTTGTAATACATTGTTTTGTTTTTTTAAAAAATGTATTTTATTGATTTTTTTTTTTTTTACAGAGAGGAAGGGAGAGGGATAGAGAGTTAGAAACATCGATGAGAGAGAAACATCGATCAGCTGCCTCCTGCACACTCCCCACTGGGGATGTGCCCGCAACCAAGGTACATGCCCTTGACCGGAATCGAACCTGGGACTTTTCAGTCCGCAGGCCGACGCTCTATCCACTGAGCCAAACCGGTTAGGGCATGTAATACATTGTTTTAATTTCTTATTACTTATGAATTGATATTTTTTGTTTATTTTGTACTTGTATTCCATTAATTTTCTCTGTGTTTTTGCTCAGAGAATTACATATTTAAATGTGTAATTACATGTTTAGTTATTGTGGAATTACATATTTATTTTTTAAATATATTTTATTGATTTCAGAGAGGAAGGGAAAGGGAGAGAGATAGAATTATTGATTGGCTGCCTCCTGCATGCCTCCTACTGGGGATTGAGCCCACAACCTGGGTATGTGCCCTTGGCTGGAATCGAACCCCGGACCCTTCAGTCCACAGGCCAACACTCTATCCACTGAGCCAAATCAGCTAGGGCCATATTTATTTTTATTTATTTACTTATTTTTTGGTTAATCCTCACCCGAGGATATTTTTCTATTGATTTTTAAGGAGAGTGGAAGAGAAGGAAAGACAGAGAGAAACATCGATGTGAGAGAAACACATCGACTAGTTGCCTCCTGCATGAGCTCCAACCAGGGCTCGGGCCTGCAACCAAGGTACGTGCCCTTGACTGGAATTGAACCCTGTACCCTTTGGTCCACAGGTCGAAGTTCTAGCCACTGAGCCAAACCAGTTAGGGCTGGAATTACATTTTTAAATCTTTCTTTCTATGTATGGATAGCAACCATTTTTTCTCCTGTGTGTTAACAGTTTCCCCTTCCAATGGAGTTTTACAAATTTTTATATAATTTTGAAATTCAGAAGTGTTTAGTTCTTTTGATTAGCAAAATTGGCCATTTTGCTTTTCTTTTTGTATTTTTTCCATTTCATTTATACTTATGGCAGGTTAAATTTTTATCTTATTTGATATACTATTTCATTAGCCATTTTGAGGCAAATATTTGTAACTGGGTCCCAGTGCACAAATTCATGCATCTTGAAAGGAACTGTGGGCCGCGATGCTGCGGTGGACACGGGTGGGTCTCTGCCCATCCTTGTGCCCCTGCCCGGCCCCTCCCACCAGGTCCCCTCTCGGCCAGCAGCCCTGCTCCCACTGCTGCTGACAGCGCTGGTCCCGCTTGCACGGAGAGATTGTGGCTGGCACCAGCAGTGGCTGCAAGCAGCAGCTGCTGCCCCAATCACCCCTCAGGAGCAGGGGGAGGTAAAGAAGCCCTCAGGGGCGATCTATCGGGGCCAGCAGCCGCCACTCACACCCGCTGATGTTGCTGAGCGATCGAGACTGGCACCTGGCACCGGCAGTGGGTGTGAGAGGTGGCTCTGGTGCCAGCAGCGGGTGCAAGCGGGGCTGGTGCCGACAGCAGGTGCAAGCACCAGGTGGGACTGTGGCACAGGGGAGCAA